AGATTATATTAATTCATCAGGTCGCCCATACTTAGAGAACATCCCTTCTAATTGGGTTGGTATGTAATATTTGAATTTACAAATAAGGTATTATTAAAGAAAATATGCTTGTGTTCAGAAATAATTGCAGTTCTATTATTTACTTTGTAGATTTCGAGTTTCAAGAAGCTGTATATCCAATTAGGGTTTCTATACAGCAAGAATGTTGGATTCCTGAGATAACAATGGAAAGGGCGCGAGATTCTGATCGGTGGTTTTTATTATGGATTGGAGGAATGCAGGTTCCTCGATGCACACCACGACTGTTGTCCCCGGCTTTACGGGCCTGTGACTTTAAAACTAAAATGCTCAGATTAATATTTCCGTATAACGCTATGGGAATACAGATAGATGCTGTAGAGCTCATCGGAACATCAGAATTGATTCAACCTAAAGATCCTAAACAGACTTTGACCGATCTATTAAAAGATATTAATTGCAGCTATCCTGACCGTAAGGATATGTACAATCTAACACCAGATTACAAAAATGCAAATCTGGATGTATATCAACTTATGGAAATATTTTCCGACTATTGTATTATTCGTAAAAAAAGGTATTGTAATCTTCGATAGTAAGTAATATTCTATTTTTATTAATATTAACGGTCAATTAATTTCAATATTATTTTTAGCAATTTACATTTAAATAATGGAAAATTGAAAGGCATCACACCCTCTTCAAGTGAATTCAACAAGCAACCACGTTGTGATTTTTCTATGCTTCCTGTAAAATATTCAACACATATTTAAAGAAGTTTCTTAATTCTTATAACAATATTTATTATAATATCGTGAATTAAAATTTTATATTTTATCCTTGCAGGAAGAGATGATACTAAAAATACTGGAATACTTAGATTTAAGGTCATTGTGCCTTATGAGCCAAACGAATAAACGCTTCAATTAACACGAGATCCTTCGCTTTTTAAATATTTAAATATAGAATATTTGCGCATGTATAAGAAGTCTACCGATGATACTATTGGTGGTTTGCAGTGTAAAATTCTATCTAGCTTGGAATCCAGATGTGAGCACTTACAACAGTTGAAGCTTGTATTCTGCGACATTACTAGTCCACGTTTCGTAATGTTTCTTAGAACTTGTGGCTCGAAGTTAACGTTCTTGCGATTAGCTTCTTGCAAGATTGACAACGATATCCTCTATGAATTTTGAAAAACATGCAAAAACTTGACAGGTACGATTATGATTTTTAAAAATAAAGTTAAATTATGTCTGACTAATCATATACATTTTTTAGTGTTAAATTTGAGAAACTATAAATATAATATGGGCGACGCTCTGGACGAAGGATTGTTGTACCTCCAACATCTAAAATTTTTAGAAGAATTAACCCTTGAACATATACTTATAAGAGACGTTGAAACCCTTTGTACAGTACTGCATGGAAAGCACCGATTACATTATTTACATTTGAATGCAGGTCATCTGCAACCTGCAAATCTAAATAAATTTTTAATAAACTTACGAGATAAAGTTTTCAAACTTGGAAACAATAAAAATATCGGGCTGTGCTATTGATTCGCGAGGTATTGGTGCCCTCGCTGAGTTCAAGAATTTACGAATGCTGAGCATTGAGACTGCAGTGTACATGTAAGCTAGATTTTCTCTTACATACACTACTCAAAAAGAAAA